TATAGTACACATGGTATAGTTAAGATTCAATCCTAATGCAATGCCTATATGTCGATGCACATGATTCTGGAATATAAATCCCTCTGCAAAGGGTCGTGGTATCGCTTCAAGGTTTAGCGCCACTAAGGTGATGGGTATCTATGCAATCAATCAGACTTAACGATCTACGTCGGAATAAGGTGGTTCTATCTCAGACACACACCTTGTGCCACCTCTTTGGTAGGCACCTCGTGACTCCTCTCCGGTAACCACGTAACCATGAAATGCATGAGCATACAATTCACATATGTGCATTTCAACTCATGTGTAACATCAGAACATGTCATACGAAATAATTATCTCATGCATAAAATTATTTCAACACATATATAACATTTACGCATTTATACAACTAGTCATCTCCAAAATAAAACATGTAAGAAGATACGAAGCATGTATAAATATATAATATATTTTTATTATTGGAAGAAATATATAAAAATAGATAGTTTCTCTCACGGTTTTCATGAAAAATGAAGTTTAAAATTGGTCGGTCGGTCGTGCACCTTTATCCAAAACGAACTAAATTAAAACGAACTAAAATAGAATATACTCGTACGCTATAAACTCCGTAGTCAACCGATTTATTATTTCTATTTAACTATTTATTTAATTTTTAATTAATCATAGTCTGATTTATAATATATGTAATATTTATCTAGTAAACTTGTATTTTAAATATTTAAAAATTGAAAAGTAAATACTAACAGTAGTGCTTCTACAGAACTTAAGATCTCAGTACAATTATCTCTTCCAAAAATATATATTAAATAACTAGTAGATAGAAAAAAATGTTAGATAGAAACCTTATGATATATTGTTTTTTATTTATTTATTTTGACTTGAGGCATTATAAGATATCACGAGAGTCCAACTAAGAACTATCACTTATTGATTGTCATTTATATAAAAAAAAAAAAATCTTTTTAAATCAATTTAAGATAAATAAGAACTACATCTCACTTTAGGTAAAATATAATTATTTTTCAAAAGTTATACTGAAAGTTCTAAAAATAATTTATAACTTTGTAATGAAATTTTAATATTATGGTTCTTCTTATTTTTCTCATTAGTTTATTTTAATTCTATTTAAAGGTTATAATAATAAACTATAAAAATCATCTTTTAAAAAAATATAATACGTAATTTCAAGTTAATGAGATGTTAGTGATTATTCATATAAACTTGAAAAATATTTTAAAAAAATAAAAAGAAATAATTATTTGTTTATTGATTCCTTTACGTAACAAAAAGAAAGAGAGAGACGTGTAATAATGTAACTATATTAATTCCTATTTAGTATAAATAATATATATACTAGTTCATATCAACGTAATATAAAAAAAACTACCACTTTATTTTATTCCAAAGGTTCATAATATAATAGTTATCTAAACCTTTGTGTTACAATTTTCAAATAAAATTGTTTGACATATCCATGGAAAATCTTGTAAAGAGACTTAGGCAAAGTTTAAAAGTTCATCCTTAGCAGTGATAAAAATATCATCATTCACTCTAATTCATTCAATTTTAAAGACAAGGTTTAAAGTACTGAGACATAATAAAATCATAATAATTTAGTGCATAATTTCATATTAATAACAAATAGACCTACTAAATGATTTTAAAGCGGGTAAAAGAGAGATCGGAAATTAGTTCGTACGGAGCAAATATTTTTATTTTACAATTCTATCATAAATAGTTTTTTTTTGTTATTCTATCTTTAAATTTCCGTTTATAAAAATGGATCGTTTATAAATTAAGGCGGCTAATATGTCGAGATTAAAATCAAGATTTTTAAAAAAATTCTTTCGTGAAGCACTAATGAAATAAAAAAATCCTAATTTTTTTTAGCAAAACTTGAATTTACCTATATAAAAATTATTTTAAATTTAAATTCGATCATAATATATAAATTCGATCAAAATGAGAAACCACATGATCATGGATTGTTGATGAAGGCTCCATCCATTTTCATTGTGTGGATGAGGTTTGAGGATTTCCTGATTTTAGCTATCATGTGGATGTATTTTGTGTTTCTGTCCCCGTGCAGATGCCAATTTACTCTAGCATTGTGCTTCAAAAACAGTTCCTCAATATTGAGGGCATGCTCTAACCTAGCTTGAGCAAACTTCTCCGGCTGCGCCAAAGAGTCGAGGTGGCCTTCAATGTCAATTTTCTCCTGAATATTATTAAGGTCCAACTCAGCCAATTTCACCATGTCATGAACATTGCCAAAGTAATTATTGTTCCACACTTTCAGATTAACCTTCGGGAGCTTCAGCTTGGAGGATAAAACATACATGGGGCAACCAACATAATTGTTCTTCCACGAAGATTTGCCGACCTTAATACAATCTGGATGTGTGATCCACATGCAAAAACCTAAATTGTGACTTGAACTTGGAACCCTGAAGTCAAATTGCAACAGAATAGGAAAATGATCTGAACGAGACTTGAAAAGAGTGGAACTTGATGATTGAACATATGAACTGATCCATTGTTGATTGCACATAACCCTATCCAACCTTTTCCTAGTATGATGCAACTCACTACGACCATTCGACCAATTGAACTTTGCCTCAATAGTAGAAATATGAATAAGGTAATTTTGATCTGACTAGTTTGCAAACTCTTCCACGGGGACTCTAGCTGGATTGAAAGATCCTTTATACTCGTGAGCTCCTAGGATTGTGTTGAAATCACCCATGAAACACCAAAGAATTTTATAGGTTTGGAGGATGTTTTGGAGTGAAGTCCAAAGATTTCTTTTAGTAATGTAAGTAGTAGACGCGTAAACAACCGAAATACCAATGGTACAACCATTGACCAAAACAGTAAAGGAAATTTGTTGTTCATCAATATGTAACACCTCAGGATTGAGATTAATATCATAGAAACACCATAGATTTTAAGGCAAAGTATCCATACTATTAACAGCAAAGAATTTGAGATTAACTCTACTGAGTCAGGACTGTGAGAAAAGATCCTTGTCCATCCAGGGTTCAATTATGAAAACTAACTTAAGTTTAGAACTCACCACTAACCTTTTAAAAGCCAATTTTGTAGGAGAGTTGGCAAATTCTCTCGCATTCCAAAATAAACAATTCTTGGGGAATTGTTGGCAATGACAGACCTCGACCTTGTCTTGTAATTCCCTCTTGCAACAAATTTTTTCTGAACTTTTTTCTTGGACTTTGGTTTTACTTTCATGAAGCCATCTGAGTCCACTTCTAAAGAATTATGCATTGTATCACCAATTCCTTATTTTACTAACTCTTTGTGCACCATGTTTTCCCAAGAAGCATTAAGGAACATCAAATCCCGTTGATGTTCAGGATTAGTTTCAGGGACTTCTTCATCATAGTTCCTTTGTGTGATGTCTATGAAATCTGAGTTCTCGATTGCATCCTTTGCCTCTCCTGCCAAAGCCAAGATTTTATCTACGTCTTCACCATCACCTTAGTTACATTCCCTACAACTTCCACATCCATGCTAGCCATAGGAACACCCAAGTCTAAAGTATTATCCTTGTCTATACTTTTTCTTTGTCAGAGCCATTCACCACAGCAGTGGGAGTGTTTGAAATATGAGCCTCTAGGTTTGCTAAATTATCTTTCTCATTGCCATTGATTGTGTTATCTGTTGTGTTCACACCTTTGGTGACTTGAACAAATATTTGTTTCTTTGCTTTTTTCTACTTAACGATTTCTCCCTCAAACACATCTTCATCTCCTCTCTTTTTCTACATACTAGTTTCAAATTCCTCCCCTCTACATTTGCATTTGTCTGAGGAGTGGCCAATAATGTTGCAATTACTGCAGAACTCCGGGAGATTTTCGTACTCAAGATCTATAAAAAACGTATATCTCGTTCTTTTCACTAATACCTTGTACATGATATCAACATTCAAATCTAGATCCACTAAAATCCTAACAAAGTGGCCAAACGGTCTTTCAAAGCAACACTTATTAGATGCAAAGTCTGTGCGCAGAGGAATCCCCACACTGCTTGCTATCGCAAAAATGATTTTAGGACGCCAGTATTCTTGTGACAAACCATGAATGCAAACCCAGACTTGTGTAGATGATTGCTTCAACAAAGCTAGGTTGAAATACTTAGTCTAGGGAAACAACTTCAGAAATCCTGGACTAAGATTCCAAGAGGTGATGGATCTTACTCTTCTAACATCCTTGAGAATAGAGAACGAGAATTCAAAATACCCTTTCCCAAGATATGGGATACTCTATTTTCCTATTGATTTCCATATACTTAAGAGTTTAGCTTTAAGGTTTTGAACCGTCAATGACAATATACCTTTAGGCCAAATAACCCTACTATGAAGGTTATGCTTGCAAGCTTCCACGTTCAACAGATACTCCTCCTCAAATATTACAATGGACAAACAATCTCCTTTGACACACGACTTTGACAACTGACAGACCGAAAAATTGCACACATTATTCACGACTTCAACAAATGATTTTGGTGACTTAATAGAGTTAGCATGTATATCCTCGTGAGTTTTCAACTTCGAGTTTGCGTTTGCTTCCAATAACATCCATAGAATAATAGGTTCTTTCATTATAAAAAACACGAGAATGGAATTTAGGTTACGAGATGAATAGTACACAAACATCCATGGTTTTTAATTGTATGCTACCGTTACCAATCACCTGCTTATAGCTCACAATGTGCGTCATTTGAAGAGCTGACATCTCTACTATTTTCTGATCTAATTGGCATTAGCCAACATCTTATTATTATTTGATTGTAGTTTTTTTTTTCGAAGCACTCTTATAAATAAAAAATAAAAAATAAAAAATAAAAAACAAAACAAATAATTTAACTAATAAAATTTTTAAATAAGAACATAAACCTCCCCATTACCCCCACCGGAGAAACCCTCGCCGTCGCTGAGAAAAAGAAGCAACGTTACATAACCACCTTCAACCGAAAAAATGGAGGACACCGGTGGAATGAAGCAGGAGCTACAATTTCAACTCCATAAACTACGCCACATAAAATCAGAAAAAACGCTAAACCACATGCTTTCCACTCTCTGGAACACAAGGGAAACCGGTCTTCCTCTTCCCGATAAATCGCATTTCCAATCCCTTCTCAAACTCTCTTCACATTCTCAACTCGATCCTGTACTATAATCAACCATTTTCTCTTTTATTCAAATTCAAATTCAGTGAAATTCATATTAATTCGAAACGCATGAAATAGGTGTTGGCGTCTCTTCGGTGGCTTATCAGAAAATTTGTTTATCAAAATTGGAGCGACAATGAGCTTCTTGAATTGCTTCTGGCCGATCTTCCGTTGCAGTTGCGAACCATTCTTTTACTCACCTTCCAGAAAAATCGAGATCGCTGGAAGCAGGATATATCTTCACAACAGGTAACTCTTTTCATGTTTTATACTTGGATTGATGGAATATGATGGAACGAAGCAGAATGAAATGTAATAAGATTATGTTACATAGTTTGAATTGTTAAAAAGAGGATGCAATGAAGCGGAACATGATGTAATGCATTGCATCAGTTCCATCATTTACCCTCATTTTTTACTTTGGCGGAATAACAATTGAGTGTTTAGTATCAGGTCAGAACACATGTCCCTCCATCATTTTCCTCCGCGCCTTCTTCCTTGATGTCAACATCTATGTGGCCACGCCAAGACCATGATTCTCTTTCCCAGCTAAACTGCGGTGATTTGGGAGTATCAACATCACTTGTTGGCGATGTTAATGAGTCAGGGCTGCCTGCATGCTTCCAATGTGATATCGCTTCTTCTGAGAATTTGGTACTTGAGGTCCGTTGGTTTTGCTAAGCCTTCTTATTTATCCTGTATCTTATCCTTGATTTCGCATTAGCTGCATATTTTCTCCTATTACTGTTAATTTTTGATACAGCATCAAAATTTTCAAACTACATTACACAGTCTTTTCTTTTAGTTACTTGAATTTCACTGAGGTAAGCATTACAGAGGTAGATGTATAGGATTTCATTAGGCTGATGGGATTATATGAAAATGGTTTGATATTTTTTACTGTATAAATTGGTACAATGCTTCAAATTGGAAGACTTTCAAAAGATTTGGTGCTTGTAGAATTTTAAGAAGTTTTGGAAAGGATATGGCAATAGTATGTGGAGGATCAATGAAGGGGAATTAAAAATCATAACCAAGTTTAGATATCGTATAAATAACAAGGAACTGTGAAAAGGAAGCTATAGTTGACAAGGGCTTTGGTTAGCTAGAATTTTTAAATTCTATTTTTATTTATTTATTTGTTATAATTTATAAAATGAAATTGTAGGAAAACCTTCCTTACCTCAAATCAATGACTTGGACTATGGAGAATGGTGGCGCTTCCCCTGCAGATAGAGTGGCTATAATCAGTCTTAAGGTAATGTGTAAGAAAGTAATGTTGTTATAGTATGAAAGGATAATTTTATTGGAGCTGCAGTGGTAATGTTGTTATAGTATGAAAGGATATCCTTGTAATATCTGTTTTCTTTTATAGCTGCAGGATTATAGTAAGTCTCCTTTAGGAGAAACAGAGCTCAAGTTTCAGCTCAAAAAGGATACACTTGAGGCTATGCTGAGATCCATGACATATCTCAGCGAACAGCTAAGTGGTGTAAGACATTCGTTTATATAACTATATTTATGATGGTGAATTGGAAGATAAACCCCAAATTATCACAGTTTATCAAGAGTATTTTGTTGAAAATGAGGAAGAATATTAGTTTTTTTTTCCTCATAAAAACCTATTTGCTCTGAATTGAAGAGCTATCACGATATCTGATAATAAGAAGGAAAAGCAGAACACTCACTTATGAGTATCCGTTTGCAATGCAGGTTGGGAATACTTCCAGGCCAGCAAACAAGAAACAAAAGAAGTAACTTGTTTTCTGGTAATGGCTCATAAGTTAGAAATACTTAGAAATATTAAGAAAGTTCTCATACTTTTAAACTCCAAAAGTGGAAAATAGAGCTAGTAAAATAAAAAAGAACATAGCTCTGACATACTTTGTAATTCCATTTTTTATGGATGACATTGAAGTAAACTTGCAGCTTGTTGTAAACAGTTTCTCTATCTTAAAATTTGTACAAGTGAAGATGTGTATACACTACTTTCTCTTTCAACTTTTTGTTTATCTTGAGATTGAGACTATTATGAAGTGAAAAAAATCATGTTTCTTTTCCAGTGTAAAGAAGTAGGAAAAATATCGGAAACAACTACTTGGTATATACACAAGCAAATTCAATCACCATTTCTACAATCAAATTATGATGTACAAAAATCCAATTTCTTTGGATTACACAATGGACAATGGACAACACTGTTGGAAATAAGCTCTCACCCTATACATATACCAAATTGCTCACACTGAAGGGTAAATCTGAACCAAAAAATTGCACACTTCAAGAAATAAAACCAAAACTCATTCTTGAAGGAAACCAATCCATCAAATTTATAGAAATCTGACCTGACTACCATTAGCCAAGACATGTTGTCGCTGTCGAGGCTGCAAACTCAAATTCCCACCGCCGAAGAAAAAACATAAAACAACATAAATAACAAACTTGCTACTCTTCCATCTCCTTCAAAATAAACTTTATCGATATCAATCAGAACCACTAGAGCTTGAGCTTGAACTGGAACTAGATTTTTTACTGTGAGATTTTTATTTATTACCAGAGCTGCTACTGGATGCATTTTCCGATTTATCAATGGTAGTTCTGCTCATTTCTTCAGCATTGGTTGATACATCAATTTTCTGCTCATTCAACTTTGCCGAGCTAACTTCATCTGCTTCTGTTTTGATTGAAGCATCTTCTGCATCCAATTTTTCTGGAAGCTCCTCTTGATTATCTTTGGAGATTTCCTTTATAACAACATCAATATCTTCCAGGGATCTGGCTTCAATAACTTGAAGGTCTGAATTAACTTCCACATGATCTTTACATTCTTTACTATCAAGCTGATCTTTTATCGTGCTTGGCAGGATGACATCATTAACATCAACTCCTTCTTGAAGTTGCTTAAAAGCTATGTCGATATCTTCAAGCGATCTTGCTTCAAGAACTGGTATGTCATTGTCCTGCTCAACCTCTGCTGTCTTTACATCCTCTGGCAGTGAACTAACTTGAGCATCTCTAGTTTCATCTTGTACAATGTCAGTATGATGCAGTACACCGGCATCACCGACACTAAAATCCCCAACGGTGTCCAATTCTGACAAGAATTCCTCGTCAATTTCATTCATGTAATCAAATTCATTGATATTTTCTTCATTGTTCGGAGACATGAAGCCCTCTGCTGAAGGAACTAAGTTCTGTAGAGCTTCATTTTGATCTTCATTTGCAATTTCCCTACGTTGCTTATGAACTTCCAAATGCGATTCACTAGTGGGTGAACGGAATTCAGGTGTGTCAGAATTAACAGAAGTTGCAGAAGAGATGAAAACAGAAGCTCCATCTAAGTCGTCATGCGATTCTCCAACTCCATAATTGGAAGTGCCAGCATCCTGTGAAGGTTCTACCTTAACATCGTCGGAGTTCTGTAGAATGTCAAAGAACTTAAAATCAATTATTTTAGCTTATAGTATTAGATCAATAACTTCACTTTACACCAAACAAATGCAATGCCAGCAGAGCTGTTATGAGCATTAGATGAAAAGAGATCAAGATGAAAACATAAATTACTCATGCGTACCAATCACGTGCATGTAGAAATAATCACAGAAAATACACAATGGACAATTACTTCTTTATAAGCTACAATTCTATAAACATTTTGAACAATGAAGGTGTTAGAGACTGCATTGGAGGCAAGCCAAATGTCACAATTAGGTGACTAGGGTCGGACCGCAATGAAGGCGGAATTTCCAACATTTTATTTTTCTACATGGCATCAAAGCTCCCGATTTTGGGGGACTTTACTCCTGCATAAACCCCGTTGTCTTTGCGGTTTCTTTAGTTTTTCCGCCTACATTGCGTGTTCTTTTTGTTTTTTCTTACGCCTTCATTGAATCCTTTTTGAGATCCAGCAAACACTAATCATCTGTACGTGTAATGTTCATCATAAAATATTGTTCATTTCGCAAACGCTATTCATATTGCAACATTGTTCATAATAAAAAGGCAGTGGATAGCTCGACTATCCTCTCTCCGTTTTAGGTGTTTACTTTCAGATCTGTGCGATGTTGCTCGCCTTTTCTGATTTTTTCCTCTTGCTGAAAAAGTGGTTAGTATGACACGTTACTTATTCTCACGTATTCAGGTACATTTCTGTTTTCGCCTCCTCTCGGTAAGTCTCAATTTTATTTTGGATTTTATCTTTCACATATACCCTATAACCAATATTAGATACTGGAGTGGATAATGGAGTCATTGACCACTAACTCCACTTCTTCACCTTGTACTAACAACAAGAAAATATACACAACAAATGATACCCTTATAACTGCAGTAGGTCAAGGCGATGTCCAAATAAGTCAATCAATAATCCTACAAAATGTCCTTCATATTCCTAAATTATCCACTAACCTAATTTCCATAAAAAATTCACAAGACACTTATCATCTTATGTTATAAAAAACAATGTCTGTTTTCGAGGACAAAAATTCACAGATGTTATGTTATTTAATATAACAATGTTTGTCAAAAAAGGGTATTATTCACGAGTTTACCTATGTCAAAAAACCCCCCAACAAAATGAGATTCTTGAGATGATAAATGGACACTTGTTAGATCAAACTTGAGCTATGTTATTCCAAAATAAGGTTCCCGATAAATTTTGAGAGAGGCCGTTCAACTCCATCTTATCTTATAAATCGATGAATTCCGTGTCCTTGTTTCCAAAGTTCCTACCGAGATTTTGTCCTCGTTTTATCCTGATGTGTCTACCTCCAGTAATCTTAGTCCATGTCCATAATGATGGTAGGGGAAACTTGATCCAAAAGCCTTAAAATGTGTCTTTATAAAGTACTCTTCCACCCAAAAGGGATAAAAATGCTATCGTCCTCCATCTCATAAATTTTGTCTTTCATAATGTCATTTATCATGAATAAGAAAGTTACTTCAATCAAACTCATCTTTTGGAGGAGAATATAAGTAAGGAAGATGAGTCTCTTCTACTTCATGACTTGACTCTCAGACCCGAAGTTAAAGCTAAAACTGGAGGTGATAATGTTGAGAGTGAAATTGATTCTAAAAAAGAATAAAATGTTGGAGCTGAGCTTGAGCTAAAACTAAAAGCGGCAACATATGAGATAAAACAATCACCACACGTCTGGTTTGGAAGATTCACTAAAATTATGGTAGGGTTTGTCTTTAAGAATTGGTTTGGAAGATTCACTAAAATTACGTAGTTTTGGTTTTTAGAAAAGCCAAAGAGACCATACTCTATTTATCAAACCCTCTGAGTCAAGGGGATTCACCGTGTTACTAGTGTATGTCGGTTACTAGTGTATGTAGACGACATTATAGTGACAAGTGATATGAAGAGGCGCAAAAATTGTTAGGTCAACAGTTAGCCGAGGAATTTGAGAATAACGCATTGGGAAAAATTGAATGATTTTTTTGGAATTGAAGTGGTTCACTCTAAGAAAGAGATTTTTCATATCCCAAAAAAAATACGTTATTGATCTTCTTCAAGAGACCGGCAAAAAAGCACGCAAGTAGAACAATTGATCCAAATGTGAAGTTGGGGAATGGAGAAGAAGATTGTTAAGAGTCTCACATCGGACAATATATGGTATGAACATGTGTTTATAAGTGGGGACAATCCTCACTCTACCAACCGGTTTTGTAGGGTTGAGTTAGGCCCAACCACATTTCTTAACATGGTATCAGAGTCTCGTTTAAGATCCGGTGGGCCACCTTCTATGGTTTCCTCTATCGGGCCATCCGCCATTTATTTCCACGCTTCAGATGTCCAGTCCTGAGCGTGAGGGGGTGTGTTAAGAGTCCCACATCGGACAATATATGGTATGAACATGTGTTTATAAGTGGGGGCAATCTTCACTCTACCAACCGATTTTGTAGGGTTGAGTTAGATTTGTTTACAAGCTGCACTTCGAATTATTGAATATTTGGAAGGAATCCAATGTAGAAGAGTTTTGTTCAAATAGATCAACTACAACATATTGCACTATCCTGGATGGGAATCCTGTGACTTGAAAGAGTAAAAAACAAAGTGTGATATCTAGATCTAGTGCTCGGGGAGAGTTCACGGCAATACCACAAGAGATAGGTGAACTACTATGATTGAAGATCATATTGGAAGGCTTGCAAATTAAGTGGGATGTATCAATGAGAATTTATTGTGAAAATAAATCTGCTATTAGCAAAGCCCATAATCCAGTGCAGCATCATAGAAAGCATATTGAAGTTGACAGAAACTTCATTAAAAAAAAACTACATAAGAGCCTAATTTGCACTCCATGTGTCTCTCCCAAAGCAATCTTGTACATATAATAACTAAGAGGCAGAATAACAACTTTGAAATAATTGTTTCCAAGTTGGAAATAATAGATATTCATTCACCGGTTTGAGAGGAAGTGGCGTGAATAATGTATTTTTGTAACTATAACTTCAACAAGAATATTACCGGTAGGAGGAAAATCTACAATTCTTGTGTTAAAATTGAATTTGAAAATAATTCTATCTAGCAAAACATTTAAAGCTGTGTATATATTTTTTTCATCACGTGATTTTCCTTAAACATATGGAAACTAAAGCAAAAGAATTTCAAGGGAAGAGTAATTTGACTTACTTGATTTTCATCATGATCACTGGAAGATTGTGGATCCACCAATTTATCAGAGCTTGACAGATGACTCTCCAAGTCGGAGGGAGATTTGACATCGGCTTCATGTTGGCTATCAGTAGTGAAAGAAACCATATTGCTATCCAAATCTTGGTGGATATCTGTGTTACCTTGCTCCACGGAACTTGACAAAAAGACATTATCTTGTTCAATTGGAAATATGTGTTCTTCAGTTGACCGACTTTTCTCTAAATGCTCCGTATCTACCTGTGAGAACTGTGAGTCCCCTGCCGCATGCATAGGTGAACTATTAGAAGGTATACGGTGGGCATCAGAAGGCACCGAGTCCAGAGTTTCATTATCGCCTTGGATTGGAACAGACATATCTTCATTATCTTGTCTTGATATTTCATTCGGCAGCGCATCTTCCTCCGCAGACTCATCATCTAACTTTTCAGAAGAAGCCAGTTGATAGTTTGACTCTGGAGATTCTATATCATGTCCACGAACCATGCCTGAATCAGCTACACCCTTTTCTGATACAACATCCGAAGAAAAATTTGTATCCACAAACTCAGTCACTGTTGAACCATTTTGATCAACAGAATTTGGTATAACTGCAGATGACTCCTCTGCAGCAACATTGTGCTGGTCTATATCTTCAGATTTCTCGGCACTCATTTCATGTTCGACTTCCGCATGCAGTTCAGAAGAGGCTGCTTGAGTTTTCTCATGACCAGAAGAATAATTATCCGGTCTGTCGTTGTGTGCCTCGGATTCTTTATCAGCCACATCAGCAGTAGTATCGACTGAAACAGGAGGCAACACTGTTTCAGAAATCTCTGCTGCTGAATCAGAAGACACGGAAGAAAAAGATATGAGCTTTTCTGCTGCGAGTGGACTAGAATCATAAACAGGTTCTACTAGGTGGGTGTCTTCCACCTCACGACTTATATGCTGGAAGTTTGATTCCTCCATTGAAGTTTGGGTTGAAATTCCCGATTCCTCCACTGAAAATTGGGTTGAAATTCTCGATTCCTCTACTGAAATTTGGGTTGAAATTCTCGATTCTGGGATGTGACCATCTTCATGCTGCAAATTTGCAGTTTTTTCCGACTCATCATCAGGTATGTCGTCAATCACTTCTGATTGGAAAGACTGGCTTGATCTGCTGCTGCTCACCTCAACACTCGATTCTCTTCTCAAACTTGTTTCCCCATCATTGAATTGCTCATCGATCTCAACCTCTCGTGTTGCAGGATAAAATTCCATCTCAGAGGGATCTTCCACCCCACCGAGCACTATTTCATTTTCTTCTTGGAAAACATCGTTCTCTTCAGCTTGTATCATCTCCACGGATTCATTTTCTTCAGAGGATGCGCTTCCATGACCAGCCTCGTTTATAACATGTTCTGTGTTAGATGTTAATTCAGCCTCTGGAGACAAGTCTGGTTCACTGAATTTCCTTTCGTCCTGATCGCCTGAACTCACTGATTCAGAATCTGGAACAGAACTCAACTTTGAATCACTTACTTCACTTGATTGCCGCTGGAAATAGCTTGTACCCTCCGATGCCATCCTTTCAGATATAAAAACAGGCTTCCAACTAATATCATGCCTCTCTTGCTTGGATATCCCAAATACCGATGGTCCTACGTTGAAACTTTCATGCCTCCGAAATACTGCATCTTTTTGATTAAAATGCGTGAACTCTTGTTGAAAACTGTCCCGTTTAAGATCAGGTTTTTCTTCATTTGGGTCATATGGAATGTCAAAAGGGTTTCGTCTAGGCTGTAGAATTGATGGAGCGGATCCAGGAATGGGTGGTAGTCCCATGGCAGCAGCATAGGACTCATCAGGAAAATCAAAAGGGTTGCGCCTAACAGAAATAGGCGCCACATTATAGGGAATATCGGCACTATCTAAGTCTATTAGATTCTTTTCAGTCATCAATCTCCTTGCCATTCTCCTGGCAATAAGATTCTCCAATCGTCGGTTCCTTTCAAGCTCCAAAGTTCCTAGATCCATAAGATTTTTTTGGTCGTCCTCTGTCCACTTGATAGCAGATTTACTTTCATCCTCTTTGCCACCCTCCATTTCTTCTTCCTCTTCGTCAACACCATCTTCTTCCGCTTCACCATGTTTTTCAATATCTTCATCTGATTCAACACTGTGGTCGTCGTCGCCGTCATCATCATCATCATCATCATCATCATCATCTGATTCAACACTGGGCTCATAATCATCATCATCATCATCATCATCACTGTCATTGTTATCGCCATGATCACTACCTTTCTGAGATTTCTCAGATGCAGCATCAGAACCATCACGGGACAAATGAGCAGGCTGTGGGGCATTTATGTCTAAAAGTGGGTGGAGCTCATCAAGCATTGGAATGATGTCAGCCATGGAAGCATCTGGCGAAGAACTCTCTGCCCCATCAGACCCTGAATCCTCAGAGTCATCGTCCGCATCAGAGTTGTTCTCCACACGTTTCCATGATGAACTTGGCGAACAATCTGCATCACCTTCCTTCAAAGAAACATACTCGCCTTCAGGAACTTTCCCATTCTCAATTTCAAAAATATCATCATCATCACCATCTTCTTTTTGAACCATCACATACTGTTTCTCAATAGCTTCGTCATCACTTGAAACAACTTCAGACGTGAGGTTCCCGTCACGAACTTCATTGCTCTTCCCCAACTCAAAACTACGGAACTCCCTTTCCACATCCTCTTTTACTTGATTCTCGGGTTGAATATCAATCAAGTTTTCGTGATCCGGCGCTGAGTCATTAACCAAACCACGATCCTTCTCCGTCCTATCATCTTTCTCACCCGACACATTCGCTTCATCAATGCCACTCTCTTCAACATCACTCCTAAGCTCCGAATATCCTCTCACAAAATAGCTCGCATCTCTATCAGAAACAACAGTTTCACCCTCCGAAAACCCAGTTTGGAAAGACGAAATGCCATGAGTAACTCTCTCTTCCTTTTCTTCATTTTCTTCAAACTCAGGTACATTCGGCTGCCCGAAACTGAGAAGTGTACCAAGCAGAAGAGCAGTGCAAACCAAAACAGGAGATGCAGAAACCAAAACAGAAAACAGAAAAGGAAAATATCTGTACAAAAAAAGCAAGAAAGCTAAGAATCCCAAAAGAAATGGATGATGGCAAGCTGATCTGTAAACCCCTCTGATTGAAATGAAAACAAGTTTCCTAATTTTGATTCCAATTTCAATCGCTGATCCCATCTCCCTCTCTTTTGATAACTCTGCTTAAGTTAAAAACCTGCTTTTGATTCATCAAACATAAACAAACAAAACGGTACCCCAAATAAGATCCATGATCAACACTTCCCATAAACAGGAAGAAAAGCTAAAATAAGAAAGTTTAGAAATTTATCAAAAAAATCAAGCTTAATTTTACCTCAACACCAGTGAATCACAACAGAGCCACAATAATCAATCCAATCCCTGAAAACAAAAATTGGGGAAATGATGAATTGATCACAGTATAATCAAATAGGGGATAAAGGGTACACGAATATGAAGAGAAAAAAAACAATTTTTTGTTGTTGAGATAAATGACTCACCAGTTATAATCAATTAGGGTATTTGGGAATTCTTGTTTGGTTTGTTTAAAGAGGCAAAATGAGGTGAATGTGTTATGGCATTGACAAAAGAGAGAGTGTGGGGCGGCACGAAAAGAAGAGAAAGAGAAAGAAAAAAAGAAAGAAAGAAAAGGATAGAATACTCTCATCATGATGACAACAATAATAAAACTATTCTAAATTTTCTTTTTTTCATTGTTGCTCTGTCTGGAAAGAAACCTTTTACTCTGTCATGTTCTCATGTTTGTGAGATCTATGTTGTGGGACATGTCATGGTAATTTTGGTTTTAGAGATTCAATGTTTGATTTCAAATGTTTGATTTAATTCATCACTATGGTGTTCATGACTCACTATGGTTCTTTTGTTTAGTATTTAATTAATATGAAAATTAGTATTAATTATTGAATAATTAAAATTTTATGAATAATAAATATGATTAATGTTAATTTGTTGTCTTGAAACACAACTTAAAAACTAAATATAGGCTGTTTAACTGTACTAGTATAAGTTAGCAAAACTAATTAAATATTAACTGAAATGGATGTTGGTCACCATCATTGAATTCCTAACTATTTTTATATTTATTCCATAAAACATGCCATTTTGTCAGTGTTTTGTTCTTCCAGGCTGGTGTTGGTGTTGGATTTGCCAATCTCATGGATAAACATTTTTAAATTTGGTTATTGTATATTTTGTAAACTTTAAAATATTTTTTGTATATGAATATGTTATGAACAAAAAAATTTGGTTAATGATTTTGACTGGCCTAGAAATGGATATCTAAATAATTAGTTATTATAATGAAAATCAAGTGTTGGAGTATATTCTCTTATAGATAAAATGTGTGAAAATAATTAGACCCAAAAAAAATCAATAATCATGAACTAAAGTACTATATGAAATCAACCAATTTTGTCATTAAATATATACAAATTAGTCAATTAATCTATAAGACTTTAATAACGGAGATTAAATTGACATATTTTGTATACTTAATTTTTTAAAACTTATCTTATATATTTTAAGAGATAAATAAAAAAATTGTTTAGTTGTTTTATTAGGTGAGACTCGTCCCTCAAATTGTTTTTCTTCAATTTGGGAAAAACAAAATTGTTTGTTGGTATCAAATTCTAACTCATAGTATGATTTGAAGCCTCTTCACTCCAATTGGAGAGCGAAAAGCCTCATTGATATAATTTATATTTAAAATTAAAATAATTTATTAACTAAATTTGATAAATAGTTTATTTTTCATTAGATGATGTTAGCTCATTTGAAAGAGGTTATATTTTCGCAAGCACAATCAAATACGAGGTAGTCAATTTTTTATTAGGTCTACAAAGACCGTAGGGATGTTAGAATAAATCAAGAATCGGTAAAATTTGATAATTTGACAACTTACTCGTATTCCATGCTTATGGCATCACTTACCAAAAAAAGTTAGATCCAAGAAATGACATTTCGAGGGAGATGCACATGTGTGGGTAGGGAAAAAACAGATAAATGAGATAATTGAGTCGAAATCAGATAACATGTACTTCTAGTAAAAAAAACTCATCCTCATATGTGCAAATTGTCGAGCAAACCTAATTTCTATAAGTTATGTTGTTTTGGCCGGTTAGACTAGTGTTTCCCTATAAAATACTAGAATAAAAATTCTTCAACACACAAAAGTAATCTAACAAGATATATTGTATATCTTTTAGAAGACCCGACCTATATAGAAAACCCTGATGAGTTAGACTTTTTTGTATTTCATGTAGCAATATAGAACTAGGACTATAAAAGTATTGTAGTTAAAATGTGCACTCAGGGTACCACATACGTGTTAGAAAAAGATGTGAAACTCATCCAATTCAAGGGAGCAAAATTCACCATTGCGGCTTAAATGTGGATGACCTTCATCCTTCACAACATCACTCCTAAAACCACATTTCTACTACAATCTTGCGCACTACCTAAGTTATCTAGCATATCCTAACTTTTCAGGAGGTTGACATAGTCCAAATTATTTCTGATAAAATTTGGGATATCATTAATTCCAAATCCAAACTTCCTCTAATTTTCACAAGGTTAATTACTGGATTGTGTAAAAAAATATCGGGTACCCTTTCCAACCCATTCCACTTTCGCATTAGTTTGGACTTTGATGAATATTATCTATGTTCCTATTTGTAAGAGACAATGATCTGGAGTGATCAGAATGGATCGTCTTGGCCTTAAATGTAAGGCAGCAACAATGGTTGTAGGAGAGGAGGGGGTGTACCTGCAAGGTACTCTGATGTCAAAGTAAGTTTGGGCTAGAGAGAAAGTAAGTACGAGTGTTTAGGTATGAGTTAGAATGATTAGAATACCTGACCCTCTCAAGAGAGAGGGTATTTATAAGATTCCCCCGGTGCGGGGCCAAGGTCTCCCATGTGACCGAAATATCTGGTCGGCCAATGAGGGACTGCCAGGTGGAAGATCTAGTGCGTGATCTTTGACCTGGTCCAATTTCCTCTGTGACTTTCAGAGGGGAAATTGGTTGCGTGAACTGTCAAGCGCATGGGGGGCATGTCCCCAATGGCTATGTGCTTCAACGACTATATTGTGCCCCACAGTCTATATTGGGTCTGTCCTTAAGCTTAGACTGGATCGATACTTGCCCATCTGTGGGGCAGGTGCCAGTCCAGTCCAGAACAGGAACCCTCAAAGTCGTTGCTTCGAGGTGAGGAGTGATGACTTGAGTTAACCTAGCTGTCCGACCAAGGGACAAGAACCATATCATGGGGATGCCTTTGAGATCGCCATAAATTGAGTGAAAAGCTTCGGGGACGCGGATGGGCATTATGTATGATTGGTACGGTCAACCATGGGCCGTGCGTGGCCTCCTCAGAGATGAAAGGTGCGTTTGGTGTCGACCAGAGCTGTCCTTAAGATGAAGAAACCATCAACAAGGCTCCTGCTCAAATATTGATCTGCCAACACTGTCGAGGAGAACATGTCCGCGGGGAGTTGGAGAGACTTGTCTTTTCATAAGCATGTGAGGGGTCAGTTTTGGGGATGCCAAATGGCAGCCTCTTTGTGCCACGTGTGACGATGTAATAAATTTTGTTAAGGCCTAGGAGGCTAAGAGGCTAGGCAATGATGGTGTTTTGCCCTTTGTGTTTCCCCATGCGAGCAATGGAGCCTATATAAAGGGGGAAGAAGATTCACTTTCACTTCACAAAATTTTTTCTCCTCCTTATCTTTTGTTTTGTAACAACGTCCGTCGCTGGAGATCCTTTCGCCGCCATCCGCTGCTCCTGCCTTCCCAAGATCTTCATCTTCAACCTCTGTACCCAAGAAAGTTCTTCAACCTTCTTGTGAAATGCATGAATTTATGCAAATTATTCTTGAATTCGCAGGTGGTTCATGAATTTTTGGTTGAAGTTCACATGTTTCTTGAAGAACACAAGCTTACGATGTTGTATGTCTGTAGATCTTCCTAGGTTGTTGTGTGGGATTGTTTTATGTTTGTTATTGGGCAGGGGTGTCCTCATAGCTTAGGGTTTTTCCTTTAGGTGCCCGACACGTCATAGTGGTTGCAAGGCTTATCCTCTTTGGGGTCTTTACAAGTCGTGGGGACATGTTTCGTTAAGACCCTTTGCCGTTGATAAGGGCCTGAGTCAGGGAGTCATCCTTGCACTTAATCCTTGCCCTTTCACTTGATTTGTGGTGGAAGGGTAAATTTAATCTTCGTCGAATTCACTATTGCTTCCTTTGCTTTTCAGGTGAAATGGTTGATCGCAATGAGGGAACCATCCCTGATGTTGGGGAAAATATTAATGAAGACGCGCCTCCCGTCGAGTATGCCAACATGCGGGTGGCCGAGGGGGGCCTTAGTTGGATTGCTCAGGAGCCCCTCGTGACGAAGTCAACATTTACCGAGGAGGAAGCCAATAGCTTCGATCTCCTCGAAGATAGGGCCAGAGATATGTCCGTGAGTTGGAGGGCTATTAGCCCGACAGAAAATGACCGGGTATGCTCGGTGTATCTGGGGAGGAGATTTCCCATGTATGAGTTTGCCTTTAGGGAAGCAAGGTATCGCCTGCCTTTCACAGACTTCCAAGGGGTGATATTCTACCATCTTGAGTTTTGTCCTGCCCAACTCCACCTGAATTCTCTAGCATTCATTTGGGCATTCGAGTTGGTGTGTCATTTTGAATATGGGCTACCGTGGAACTCTTCTTTTACATCTTCCAGCTGTAGAGGAACACCTCTGAATCGAAGCAGAGTTGGTGTCTTTCAAGCAGCAGAGCAGGCTGTTCTGGCCTTATTCGGAGTCTGTTCGAAACTTCAAATTTAGATTTCTGGTCGTAAAGCCCCTTTCCAAGGTGGCCAAGAGCTCCCTGGTCACGATGGAGACGATAAAGAATGATGGTCGGGAGGTGGTGCGTCCCGTGTCAAAGTTTCCCTTAGAGTGGGTGTATGCCCATTTTCGGTATAGAACAGACCAATTCCTTGTGAAGCATGATCAGCTGTGCTCCGAGGATAAGAAATATCTTCCAGTGTTGACAGCATTCATCGAGAGTTTCATCCCCACCGCTGTGGTGGATGTTGATATAAGGGTTGAGTATCGGGTTTTTGTTATCGTATCCACGTGGAATCTGTGATATTTCCGCCGTTCGACAGTTGTCAAGTTTTTAACTTTATAGTAACAAAAAGGGGGTTTGGTTTTTCGTTACGGTAGCTTGCATAGAAAAAGTAATAAATGCGGTAAAAGTTTAGGTTTTAAGGTTTGTCAAAGTTAGGGTTCGAAGATCACTTTGCATGTATATGTTCGATTAACAAAACTAGTAAACTCCGTTAGATGATAATCACATTCACAATATCCTCTCAATGTGTTTATTCCTAATACACATTGTGATGTTTCCCATTTTGATCCATTGTTGATTTCTCATACAATCTATCAAAATGACAATATTTAGGTTTAACATTTTAGTGAACAACCACATTCAAAACTATTTCTAGCTCAAGAAGATAGATGGATGATAACCTAGGTCAAGAGTTGGAAAATATCTTTCAATCATGAACCAACACAAAGAGTTAACAATAAAACAAAGTTTTCACCATATATTCATCATCAAAGAGTTTACAAATGAAGATCATCCCATTTACATACGAAGCTTA